AATGCTGAGCCAAAAAGCCAGGAGAGCATCCAAAGCTCTCCTTAGAAAGAAGTCTTTTAAAACCTCTTTTTGGTTCTTTTAATTTTTGATCATTCCTGGTTCTCTCCTATGCACAAGCTTTCTGGCAAGAGACGAAGAAGGGGACAGTATAAACAAACGTGACAAAGTAACAGGTACAGCATTGCCAGCCCCAGCAAATGTATGAATTAAGCTAATCCTAGACTTACTGCAATTCCAGCTAGGTCACACCACATGGTGCCGTTAAAGTTATTATAGTTGCTAAAAAATTTGTCCTGCCTAGATTTGATCAAATTACAAGTAGCTTTCCAACTGCAAAGCAGTCAGCAATATTCTGCAGCAGTAGAAAGCACCTACTCTCAAATCTCAATATTCACCACTGGGTCCAAATGGAGCTGAAGGATATCTTCCCTCCCTAAGGTCAGGGCTGAGAGAGAATTGTGAGCTAAAATTCACTGCCAATAATAAAGGTCAGCTGCTCCTATCTCCTGCTGAGCTTGCTTATATATCCAACTCCCCCTTATTTTTTTAATAATCTACCTCCTGCCACAGGTGCTAATTGCACATGCTCATGTTGACATCTCATGGTGGTGAAGCTCCTAGCATTGCCTTGTATTTCAGTTTTCAGGACCCTTCGTCAAGTCCAGTTCCAACATCTGTTAATTTTGTGCCTCCAACTTTCACGACTATCTGTAGCGCATCTGCTCTTGCTACTCCAGTGGCTTATCTCTTTCCAGACCTGACAACATTTTTCCAGAGTTCTTGAGGAAGGGAGAAGTGAGAAAGAAAAACAACCAAGAACTACTGTTGCATTTTTTGTGCGTTCTGAATCGCAGAGCTTTCTTCATCTCCACCTCTCCTGAAAAAAGTAGTGTAGATGCTCTAATAATGAGAAACACTGGAGAGTTTTGTAAATCCCTGCTTGTCCCTGTCACTATTTTCTTCTCAGGGGGTGAGGAAATGGGATGGCACCCAACCAATGGCATAGAACACAGCAGGAAACATGGAAGCTAAGTGTCTCATGTCATTGCCAAATTATTTTTGACCCTAAGAGCAAATATAAAACAAAGTCAAAGAGACAAGTCACCTAAACTTGCTAAACTGCAGCTCTCCTGACAACCAGCAGAGAAGGCAAGCAGGGATATCTAAGGAAATGGGTTAATATCACTCTAATACAGTGACTCAACATGATTGAGTCCCTTAAGTATGACTGCTTTGACTAATGAGTACTTAACACTTAATTATAGTATTCATGCACTTAATTAAAGCACATAATTAAGACACATCACACAGGAAGGTCAGCACTATTTTGTACTTGTGAAAACTGGAGAAAGGAAGTTACCTGAATAGGCCACACAAGTAAGTGAACTACAGGCACGGATGCAAACCCAGGCTTTCTATCTAGGGCATGCTCTCGTAGATATTAGGAGAGAATATGTTTTATATTTTTATGCATCTCCTCCAGTCACGAGGTATATTAATGTATACACAAAAAAGTCTGTGGTGGATCATCTTCCTGTGTTGGGACTTCACCTGTATCTCTCTCTCACACTCACTCTGAGGAAGCCAGGTCTCTGATCAATCTCTTTAGACATTTGCCATGTTTAAAACTGTTTTTTTTTTTCGGAGAACAACTGAATTATGTCACCTAGATTATCATGTCCATTCTTTAGAGGCTTGGGATCACTTTTAAAATACAAATTGCTTACCTTAATAATGAACAAAGAATGCCAATTTATGTCATCTGAGTTAGTGGCCTAAGGGCTGTGTTATATCATTGGTTTCACAGTGTGTAGTATTCAGCAAGAATGGACTGATCCGTGTAATAAATATCCAGTAAAGAAACACCACATACTGCGACTATGAATAGCATCAACAGGCAGCAGCTATATCAATGATTTGCTGCCAATAACCTTTATAATTGCACGGAAAACTCAAATTCAGTTTAGGGTTTCCTTCTTTATCCATGGACTTTGGAAACGTTACTATATTTAATGGCAGACAATACAAATACTATTTCAGAGTTTTCTGGAGATTTTTTTTTTTAAATGTAGGGCTCTTGATCTTTACCAGCTGTTGAGTCCAATTTAGCGTAAGCCTGTTTCTTTGTGTATGGCCTGCAAACAATGTAAAATGAGTAGGGCCCAAATCCAGTTTCAATTGCAGGCTGGGATTCCCCTATGCTTTTACAGGGAAACTTGGTTGATAACTGTGTTTGCTATTGGGTGAGGTATGGAGACCAAGCCCATTGTATTTAACTGTTGAATACCAGAATACCACGCGAGCTCTAAAGCCAAGCCATTAAAATAAGGAAGGAGAAATAAATCATAATACATAACAAAAGCTTGGTTGTTTCTTTGCCATCACTCAACCCACAATTGTGTATTTGCATACTGTTTAAATTTTCATGTAGTACTTGCATAAACATCCAATGTTCTTTTGGTTTTTTCCTTTTCTGCACTGAATAGAAGTACAGTTTTTGGTATAGTAATGAAACCTGGATATTGCCTTATACAAGGCAATGCAAGGATGTCTTGCTGAATACTCATCGTAAACTAAGAATGATTCATAAAGTTGTAATACATCTAAACAGTTCAGTGTGAAGGGTTTTTAAGCCACATACCTCAACACAGTGACATGACTATTTCTGTCTTAAGTACAACCCATGCTTTACTCTGATAAGGAGTACCCAAGGAGGTCAAAACTTCTTACAAATATTCAAGGGACACATCCACCTTAAAATCTAGACTGCTGGTCAAACTCAACAGTTTCAGTTATTAAATTTGCTCAAAACCTTCTGACAATACCCTCAGTTTGAAAAATGCAGAAAAGCGAAAATTAATTGCTTTTCATTCCCCTATTGCTTTCTGAAGAGCCACACAACCTCTGGCTTGACTCACTTGTAGCAGTAACAGCTGCAGAAAATTTCCAGTATTTTTAAAATTAAAATATCTCATTATCACATCGAGCAAATTGCTAGAAAAAAGGGCATTGATTCTCTACTTCGTGATCATGTGCTGTGACGGAAGGCAGCACACATATATTGCGCATAGACAAATTGTAACCCCTGGTTAGTGCCCCTATAAAGACCATGGTGTTATAAATCATGAATTTAAACTGCTCCTTTTAAAGTATCTCAGGTAGGAACCGGATTGAGGCCACAAATTGTGGTCAATTATGTAGGAGTTATTTCCAAAGGAAAAAGAAGAAGGAGTTTTCTCTAACAAGCTAGTCACAAGACTCTGAAGTTCTTGTAGCTAATGCTTTGCACTAGATTGAAAATCCTATGCTGGCAGTAATTTGTCCTGTTGAGATCATCATTGTTACCAGTGAGAAAACATTTTTTCTTTAAAAGTTATTAATGCATTCAAGATTCAACTGAATACAAATAGCAGAAGCATTACATACAGAACATGAACTGAATCCTATCTTTAACATCACAGAGGACTGATTGATTCCATTATACTGGAAACAATGTATTTCCCCTGTAAATTAAAAAAAAAAAAAAAATTACACCTTTCTCATTTATCCATCCTTCAGTACTGAAAAAGTTGTAAGACAAACTCTTGAAGGCAAAGAAAAGGATCCAGTCTGCCAAACTTCAGAGTTTTGACTGTATCTTAGGCATCTAGTGAATCCATCTTCTTAGCATACATACCTAAGATATGACAGAGAAAGATGCCCTTTAAGGTCCCCAGAGGTAAATCCTATCCCCTAGACTGAATCCCAATGAAAAAGGTTGCTATTGTTTTTCACATGATGAGTCTGATAGTCATACACTCTTTGGAGGGACAAATTAGAACGCTAAATCTTTTCTGTTTTAAACTGTCATTGCAGCAGACCAAGGAGCATAAACTATCTCAAATACATGTGTGTTTGCATTCATAAATATAAGTAAATAAAAATTCTTGAAAAGTGCTCAGGTACATCTAGAGATTATGACTATATTTTATTCTTCTTAAAACATTATCTAAATGGGTAGAGACTACAGGATTTGAATGCGTGAATATTAAACAACTTTAAAAATAGAGGGAGGTTTTGTCCCTCAGTGTAGTATTTTATAGGCACCTTTATTCCTGATATTTTGTAGGATACACATATAAAATATAGAGTAAATTGCTGTAACATGTATTAACTGAATATCTGGGTAGCACCACCACATTTAGACAATCTTTAGTATGTTTCATTGCCTGTCTTAAACAGTGACATCTTCTAGCAGAAGTCTGCACAGACAGACAAATTCTTTCATGCCACCAATTCCACTTCTCTGTAGAAAGTACATAGTTATAATCCTCTACTAAGACTAAAAGTCAAATTCCCTATTATTTTATCCTTTTTAAATTTATCTTTTAATTTACTCTGTCCTTACAGTTTCAGAACGCCAGGAGAAGCAGACTATCTCCATACTGCCCCTTTGTGGGGATATTTGGAAACATACAAAATTCAAAGCTATTAGAGAGATGGTATGGTTCACACTCCGTTGTCATGCACATACATAAGTCATTAAATTTAATACTGCAGTTACATTCATCCAGCAAAATGAAAAACAGGTTTTACTCTTTCTCAGGCTTAATTCATTTATTTACAGGAAAGTCAGTGTTTCGTATATTCCTAACATAATTAGCAATCTCTGAAACCTCCCATTCCTCCCTCCCTCATCCCTTTGGCACCACTGCTCTTGTAAAAACTGACTCTCCAAAGTAATACATGTGAATAAAATTTTTTTTTTTCAAATACAAAAGACAGATTTTAAAAGGTACTAACAATAGCAGTTGGAAATAGTGTAAGATACATTTTCTTATTCCCTTCCTAACAGTCATCTTTGCCACTTTGGATACTTAGTTAAAAATGACAGGAATATAAAGTGAATGTTCAGGACAGCTGAAGTATTTTTCCATTTTTGCTTTCTTGCTTTTCTTACAATTACTTTGGCAGCATACAACTACTACACTAATATAAAATAGGAACAAGTAAGAGATTACCTGAGAACATGAAAGTCCACATTCTTCAATCCTGGGAATAATCTGACAATCAGAATTCCAAAAAATAATTATTAGAAGCATCTGAACATAAATATTTATCATCCTAAATTGAAATTTTTAAAAAAAAGCAAAACCTCAGAAGAAACCTTCTACTCTGACAATTCTCCCTCTCATGCCAAAACTTTAATATGAATTTTAGTCCCTCCCACAGCACTTCTGAGCTCCTCCCTCTAAAACTTTCCGAAGACAGAAAATTGCTAGTTGTGGGAAATATAAAGCATGTTCAACTCATTTCTTATGTTCCATAGTGAAAAATGGAAAACATGAATTTCAGACAACCCCAGTATTATTTAACTGTATCAACAGAAGCCTCTTGTTCTATAGCCTATCTCCAGCTTTTGGATTTTCAACACACTTGGGAAGTATGCATGCTTTGTCAAAGTAGCTCAACACTACCAGCTCTGAAAGCAGGGTACGAGTGAGTCACACCACCTCATCTCCTGCCAGCATAACAAAATGGCCAG